ACTTGTTCATAAAATATCAATCAATATATTTGTACCTATATATTTTTATACCTACCTAATAAAAGTGTAAAGTGGTTTGATATATGGGATAAATGTATATCTAACAATAATACACAGTATCAAGTAAATCATCATCCTCCTGCCCTTTATCCCACGTTACGTGGGGTCGGCATAATATGTTTTCTTCTTCCATTCTTCTCTGTCAGACGTCAGCTCCACATCCACACCTTTCTTATTCATATCCTCTTTCACACAGTCGATCCATCTTTTCTTCGGTCTGCCTCTACTCACATATCCATCCACATGCATACCCATCACTCTTTTCGTAACATGACTTTCGTCCCTTCTCATAACATGCCCATACCACGCTAGTCGATTACTCCTCATTTTCACCGTCACAGGTACAACTTTCAGGCTTCCTCTTACGTACTCATTTCTAATCTTGTCCATTCGAGTCACTCCACACATCCATCTCAACATTCGTAATCGATTATCGACAATATTTTTATCCATTTTATCCATTTTTTTCGATTAATTATTATTACTATATAAGAGGACTAATTCGTCTAATTTTAAAATCAATTGCAATCGGTTTCGGAGCGAATGATGATTAGAATAATAAAGAAACAATAAAAACTTACTAGATTAAATTATATTTGTAATTCCAATTAACCTTGAATTTCCGATGTCGTTCATGAAATATCTTTTTAAAAATTCTTTGCTATCGCAATCGCTGTCACATGTCAAATAGCTGATGCTTGAATATCTTTCAAAAATTCAAATAGAAATGGATTACGATGGATCTTAAAATTTGATAATTAGGTCCACGATTTCGTTTTATAACAGAATGAAATCTATACTTTGGATAAAGTTTCATATTTTATTAAATAACAAAAACATCAAGCACAAATTCGGCGCAAAAATGGAAATTAATCAGAAACCACTTTCACTTCGATTTTGCCTAACAGAATTTCTTCGGTTTTGTAGAGTCTTTGAACTTCGATTATATGATCGATGCTTAGGCGATTGATCATAGTCAGGCCCTGATCTTTTTCAACCAGGGCAGAAACAAGATATTGCCCCCACACGTAGTTTTTATTACCATAGTTTTAATTTAGGGACCTTGGTCCATCCTATTGTAGCCTATATCTATGAATTTATTTTAAAAAACTGTTGTGTAGCTACTTTTTTTTAACCTAATCTGAAGAACTTAGTATACCTTCTTTCCATAAGTATAAATGTTTTGTACCGAGCCTCTCCGACCAAGGAAGAAGGACCAAGTGCTCTTTTAGAATCAAGGGTTACTAGGGGGGGTGAGTATTCTAGCGATTCGATCACGGCTTCCCTGGTCTAATTTCTCCACAGAGGGTACACCCTAGGGTTTTGGTGGGTACGCCTTCGCTGACGGTGGAATCCAACACCCGATCTGTCGCAGTCAGACGGCAAGAACTGTGCATCAAGCATTTCCCCGATGAATAAACAGTTATAAAATGTTTTGTAATAATTACCCTACAATTAAACTTTAGAAATTGAGGCAAATTACAAAAAAAAACCATCTTGGAGCAGTGATACCAAGTTGGGCAATGTAAACTGACATCATAAAGATTTAAGGTAACCAGCATTCGGTCTGCTATGCAGAAGTGTAATGCAACGGCCGGACATGAGATGGGTGACTGATATTATCATGAACTCCTCCATACTCGTATCGTCTCGGTTGCATTTCCAGGCATTTATAATCACCAATCCGGATTAATGGGCATTTCTAGGCATTTATTATCACCAGTCCGGATTAGTGGGCATTTCTAGGCATTTATAATCACCAATAAGGATTATTGGGCATCTCTAGGCATTTATAATCACCAATCCGGATAAGTGGGCATTTCTAGGCATTTATAATCACCAATCCGAATTAGTGGGCGTTTCTAGGCATTTATAATCACCAATCCGGATTAATGGGCATTTCTAGGCATTTATAATCACCAATCCGAATTAGTGGGCATTTCTAGGGATTTATAATCACCAATCCGGATTGGTATTAATGCCTGCTTGGACCGGACCATAAGCCTTACACATACGTGATGCCATATTCCGTTCTCCATATACAATCGATTCCATCTATATCGAAGGCCTTTGCCCCAGCAGTCGGGACCTTAATAAACTGATGGTAAGACGATATGATAACATTATAGATATCAGCTGAAGATCAGCAGCTCCGTAGGTATGTTGAGCATGTAAAACAATTCAGAAAAATACCACTAACCGAAAACAAAAGCATTAATTTCCTCGAATTTTAATAAATCTTACACCAGTATTTATTGTCGAGTAAAAGTAATTTAAATACTTTTACTCATGTAAAAGTATTAAAAGTCGCTTTCTGAATTAATAACTTAACTATATATAAGAGTTGGTTGTCATAAAAAAACTTCGTACATAAAATAATATATTTTAGTTAACAATACATTTTTAATAGACAATAACAGTTTCACTTAATAGTCATAGCCGATTAATAAAGAACAGTTTAAATATTATGTTAAATAATCTTTTCAAAGTTTTATTAGAATATTTCAATAATTCCTTATATAATTTCTTAGATATTGTGCATATCATAGTGGTAATCTAACACTAGTTTAGCTATATAAAGTGAATCCACCTAATTGAGTCTTATTTTATAACTGTTATACTCATATTTGACACAATTCTCAATTAATGATATACATCAATTTAACTAAAAAATGTGATTAGGAATGTTCAGAAATATCAAAAATACTTTCAGATACTGAAAACTAAGAATAGAGTTGTTCATTCTGAAATATAAAAATTATAAATACCTATTACTTTTATCTAGATATAAAAAATATATAAAATTTAAAATTAACATCGGATTGCTTTCCTTTATTTCTTATTAGTGTTTAACTTAATTTTTATGATACTTAATTTGACATAATATTATTCTTGATGACAGAGGAATCCCACACATGAAATATGCTTAAAAAATCCACTTTATCCCTGATACTCTGAAATGGGGTTTGAACCCACGACCTTCTGCAATCCGGGCCAATGCTCTAACCACTTAACAGGGCTGACGAATTCTTCAAGCACTTGTTTCGTTTTCGCTCCTACAGAGCGTATTGTCATGGATGTTCAAGCAATCCACCCAAACAGCCGAAATAAATATTTTTACAAATATTTTAAACTTTCGAAAGGATAAAAAAAAATATATTTGATGCAAAATTTATGAAATATATTAACTGACATAACATTGTTATTAAATTACTTGAGAAATAGAGATCTATGCAACGCGAGTGTCGTTAAACTTAATAATTCATATTTAAACTTATTTAGGCGGATTATCTAATTTTTTTAAATAAATACTAATATAAAAATTGACTAAGCAAATATAACAATTTTGTCGTTATATATTTGACTGAAAATAAACTACTAGTGCTATCATTTGCTTATCCATATAAGCAAACGAGGGGAATTGCATAGGGCGCTCGATTTATTGGGTGGCATGGCAAACATATTGTTTGCTCTAATTTATAGGAACCCTAAAAATGCAGTACTTTAAAAAATAAATTATGATCTTTGAACATGAATCCATATGTTCTGTACTTTTAACGCGGCTATCCGCGGTGTTCAAAAGTACAATTTTTTCATACTTCTGTCAGTCCAGCAATACCTAAGGAGTTTTTGTCATTGGCCAAATTGCACTCTTTGATTGGTAACATTAGTCTTTTATTTTGTTGTGATTTTTTTTTATTGCCTGGCTTACGATATATGATTTCATTAATTTCAATATGTACATTTTTAATGAAATTGTCTGAAAAATCGTTAAAGATATTTTTCAGTTCAGCATTGTGAAAGCAAAATTAATTAAATATAATAAATAAGTACGTATTATAAATAGAAGGGAGATTGATAAAAGTAAATATATAATTTTAGTACATATTAAAATGTTTAAAAAAGTACTTAAAGTCGATAATTCGTTGCACCAATTGATGCTAAGTTGTTTAGTTAAACAGTGAATTTTAGAAATCAGTTATTTCAATATTTATCTTAAAATTGAGTATTCAATATAATATTATTTGTAAATATGTTATGTCAATGTAAAATCGTAAACATTGTCAATTCATAATATTTATATTTTATAACTTTTTATAGAATTATTTATACAACTGACTTCAAAAACTAGAACAATATGATTCATCTTAAAAATAGTTCATGAATGTCCTTTGAAGTGTGCCGAAGATTTAGTAAAGGTTGTTGTTAGTATTAAATCAAAAGATTGCGTTTCTTTTTTAGTGTCATCTTTTCCTGTCAATAGAATATAGTACCGCCATCTTGTGATATTTATTTTAATAGTTTCTTTTTTTTAATAAGGGAGACCAAGGAGTTTTGAAGTTTAGACCGCCTTGTGCAGTTGATATCATTACATATCAACTATTTATGAGGTTACAATTGATGTGCGATAAAACAAACTTGCTTACAGATTTTTTTCGAGATATCCTTATTACAACTCAACTCTGTTTAGACCCCTCGGTCTCCTCTACTTTCTCATCGCTAGTTAAAAATTTACACAAATTCGTTTGTCAATATTGTTTTAAGTAATCACTGCTATCTATTTCATTAACAAAAAAGCTGCTTAATTATTGGATAACAATTTTCTTTTTAATTAATAATTAGAATAGTACAATTCTCAAATATAATTATAATTATTAAAAAATAATTGTAACAACTTAGAATAACCTTAGTGAATTGAAATTACTCCGAAAAAAGGCAGTAGTAGATACCAATTCTACTGCACAAACTAGATTTTAGGTTTAATCTTGTCAAACTGGATTTTCAATTGTAAAAATATCGAAGGTAACAGAAGTAAACACGTACGATGTTAAATATTTTTCAGTTTTGTTTTACAATGTGGTACAACAGAATAGGCACCAGTTTCGGTCATAGAAAATTTTTAGGCCATACTGGAGTTGCTGCACCTTTCCGCCAAGTCCTCACGCCGCTGCTGGTAGTTCTTCAGGGGCTGGATGAAAGACACCAACACTCCGGACACAACAATCCAACCTCCGGCGAGGTAGAATGCCATCTCCCACGACGACGTCAGATCGTATATCAAACCTGCGAAAGAAAAACAATGATAAACTAACCTGTCTTTAACAAATCAACTGCTAATTACTTATTTTTATATCTTTTCTCGTAATACCTTGATAAAACTGTATTTGCTTAATTGCTCAGTGGTATTCGCACTCGGTCTGCGATACAATAGTTAAGCAACTTTTGCAAAGGCTGTTCTTAGGATGGATGACCTAAAATTTATAGTCAACGCGCACCTGTACTAACTGGACCAGCGTGGTGGGTCAACGTCCATTCTCCCTGTTCATCATCATCATCATCATTAGCCCTATTACGTCCCTACTGCATAAGCTCAGCCCTTCCTTATGTATGGTTAAGGACGATGGGCCATGACCCTCCACGCTGGCCCAATGCAGATTGGAGGGTATTAACGACTGTAAATGCAGCCGGGACCAACGTGCTTACCATGCCTTCCGAAGTACGGAGTAGCTCGAAATAATAATTTTTGGTCAACCATTTTGGACCGACCCTTCTTGCAAAAGTTTTTAATTCAATCCCTAGGAACTTTAGGAAGGCAGCGCTTCCTCAAAGTTATGTATGGATTTTACTTCATTGAACCTCTAAAGGTGACAGAGTTGCGCTCGATAACGAGTTCAACACTGACCTAATTAGTTCAACCGTTGAATTTAATATAAGACTTTTAAGCTAAAAGGTCATTTATATGAACGTTAATTCAAAGACAAAATCGTAACGTAATTAATATACGTAATCGATTTTCAGGAAATTTTCAAGATCTGGATCTGAAATAACTGTTCGCAGCTTAGGGTTTATTTCGCTCACTTTACTTTCGAAAGGTTTGTTTTATTTTTACAGAATTTTGGAGCCAGAAAATGAGCTATATGCTAAGTAAATTAATTAATGTCTTAAAAACATAATCTAACTCTCGAGGGGCCGAATTGGCATCACTACCCATAGTACACATCCTTCATCCTTCTCATGATTGAACTAATGATACCCGTTATGCCTATTAGTTCTGAATTGTTGGACTGATATTTAATTGTTTGTCGTCGCAAATCTCTTTAGTCCATGTCTCTATTTATTTTTCATTCGCATGATATCTCTTAAGGTGATTGCATCTGCTTATCTTGTGACGTGGCAATGTTCTAATACTTCATTATCTTATCGTTTAAGCTGTTGATGATTATTTATTTTATCATTTGAGACTTCAATATTGTAGTGATGTACCGGATATCCCTATTCGCGTATATTTGTGACAGGAGAACAATCTATATCGATTGCTTTTAATGTAGAATAGATCCCATATATTATTAAATTTCATTACATATCTAGATATAAGGTTATGATTAGGTTAACTCTATTCAAAATATTTTTATCTATTAAAATTTAAAATTGCTCATTTATCGAATATAAAAATATTATTTCTACTGAATTACTAATAGTTCCTAGTATGTATCTGGTTACCTAAAGGGTACAAACTTACTTAAACATCTTTTTAATGATATAAAATACAAGTCTATGATATGCTTATTAAAATAGAATTATTTGTATTTTAGCCGACTTGAAAAATTCATCTAAGTAGGTTAGGTACTGTACATCCCCGCACATTACTATGGATAGGTTTACTCTCCGGATGATGGTGACTCTATTTTTCCATACTGTCTCGTTTTCTCGCTTGGCTATGCCTCTAAACACGGCGCCTACCATCTAATGGTGTGATCAGAAGTGAGGGTTGCTCAATGAAATCCTTGATGTAATTTATAAAACTTAATTTATGTAATTTATCAAAAGTAATTCATCAAGTTTTTTTTTATTTGATTATTTTTAGTGTAAATACCTAAGCGAGTACATTTTTATAACAACAAAGGCCTTCAAAAGGTGCTCCAAATCTTCGTTTTTTATGTCAACAGTAAATTCTTATCATGTTGAATAACTTTACCTAAAGCGCTATATTAATATATCTCATAGATTAGACGGGCTTCAGACTTCGGAGGTCTTCAGAGCTAATCACATTTCAGACTCATAGTCAGAGTTAAGTAAAACTTAACCGCAGAACTTATTCTGTTGATTCATAAGGAGTTCCCTAGAATATATTCCACACTGATCACCAGACTTCAACCAAATTTCTATGGGACCAACCGAACACTATACTCTTTTAAATGCAAGAATTTTTGAAATCGGCCTATAAATACCGAAGATACGGGGATAACATATTAAAAAAAAGGTCGGCTTGAGAACCGCCTTCTTTTTTAAGTCGGTTAATAAACTATGAACTTACCCGAAAGTGGAGGCCCTATTAAATGTCCAATCCCTTGAGCTAGCAACACCAGCCCATATGCTGTAGTAAAATCTTCCAAAGATACAAGCTTCACTAGTAAGCTCGGAGTAAACGTGAAGGATGCGGCGAAAAGCAGCCCAAAAGCCGCAGACACAGCGGCGAGAATCCAATAATTGGAGGCTGCTATGGGTATCAGTGCTACTGATGCACCGCATAAGACCAAGCATACGGCATACAGATTTCCAATTGTCACTTTTGGGAAATCTCCTATCCATCCGAGGCCGACCTACGAAAGAAGAATTTTAACAAATTTAAGCATGGTATTAAATATTAAGTAATATAACCCTATTTTTCTCAAGACACGCAATATGAAAACTAGTACCAAGGCCAAAAAAATCTTCAGAATTAAGACTAAAATCCACATAATTATAGATTATGATTCAAAGTCAAAATAATCTTTATTCAAATAGATTTCTTAAAAGTACTTTTGAATCGTCCAACATTTTTTTCCCTACCACTCGTTCAGGACGTCTTTTGGCTTATAAGAAGAACGAGCAAGAAACTCACCAGCTCTAATAAGAGTAATGACATTTACAAAAACCATGTCATTACCAGATCAATACGTTATAAACAGAGAGAGAGAAAAAAACTATGGTGTTATAATGATAACATAATCATTTAATAATAATGGAAACAAGATAATGAGTTTAGAAGTAACCACCTATCCAGTTGCTGGATCATCTCAAGTCCAAGCGTTCTTATCTGTTATATAATCGGATACCTTATAATAAGCTTTCTTAATTATTTTTTTTAATAGTAGATTTAAACTGCTTTATATCTAATTGTTGTATCTAATCCTAAGATTATAAATTGATCAAATTGCTCTTTTTCTTTTGTATGTCGGCAGCATTTCCCCACAATAGGATTCCGTACAACATTACAGTATGAAAGTAACTGAAGTAGGTATACTAATCTGGCAGTATCTATGTCAGTTAACCTACGTATTTTCATTACGGCATATGTTGCAGAGCTAAGTCTACTCGACAATTTATCAATATGTTGGCCCGACTGTAGTTTAGAATCTCATGTTATTCCTAAAAATACTATGGTATCCACAAGGCCCATGTTCTTATCTTTTATATTAACATTTATATCTGCTTTTTTAACATTAGGTAGTACAAATTTTAAGCATTTTGTTTTTCCTTCATTAAGGAGAAGATTATTTACATTAAACCAATGTACTACTTTAGCGATAGAATTGTTCACATCGTCATTTAAAGCTAACCCTGTTTTAATTTTAAACAAAAGTGAAGTGTCATCCGCAAAGAAAACTATTTCGTGATCATCCCTTACGAAATAAGGCAAGTCATTTATGTAAATCAAAAACAAGAAAGGACTAAGTATTGAGCCCTGCGGAACACCCATTAGGACCAAGATTAGCCTACATATGAAAACAAAACCATGGGTTCAACATCTGATGACGACAACTCCAGACAAACAAATAGTGGGATAAACTAATTTATGTATTCGAAATTAGAATTTCAAGCGGATTTTGGCACAGAAATGAATCCCGCCGCCAAACATTTGGAAAACTGATATTATCTATTTCTAGACGTTTGCCTTGGTTATTTTACCTGTCATTAATCATAAATAACATAGTTTAATATTCAAACGTTTCAATATTGAGTAACCTAATGACTTGCGTCTTATACAAGTAGGACTAATTTTTATAGCTCGATTAAGCATTTCTTAACGTGTTCGGTCTGCAATGCGGAATCCGGCCTTAGGATAGATGGTCATAGGATGAAATTCCCAAGTGCATCCGTAATTAACATCCCCAAATACTGATACCAAACCGCGTATAATAGTCCGTCCTGCCTATTTGATTTCCCTATTTAATTTTCTAAGACCTTTTCCCTTATTATGGGGATATAAATAGATCTAATTATGATGACTATTCTTCGAAGAATATTTTTTTTTTATATTCAACAACATTTATTAAGTTAATACTATAACGTGTTTTCGGATAGAGGTACCCGAGCATACATGAGCATACATGAGGATGTATGCTAAGTAATTTAGTAAATAACAATGTAAATGGAGTGTTTGGTCTGGTCTATACCTTTTTCGCAATAAAATAAAAAAGATTACCATTCCAATAGTATTAGTGATTCCAATCAAACTAAGCATAACAGCGCCATCGTCTTCCGTGAATCCTTTATGTATCATGTGCTCAGCTAAGTAAAAGTAAGGAACAATGAACCATATAAACAAAATAATGGTCCCCAGGCACAGACAGTTGAAAGTCATCTTTTTAAACAAGTTTACGTTGAACATATCCAATAAGCAAGTGACACAGTCGTCGTACCAGTTCTAGAAGAAGAAACAGTTAATTGACACTTTTATAAAGTAAAAGCTAATCAACATATCATATAATAAGATCCTTCTGATAAATTTTGCATCAACTATTTATATATTGATATTATTGTATAGAAAAATATCTTAAATAATTTTCAAACATACATTCATAATCTGAACAATGGAACTAAATATACAAACTGCATTATGATTATTTAATTCTACTGCATTAGTATTCAAATATGAAATCAATTAAAAGTCAACTCACCTCTTCTTTTTCATCGATGGTTATCATGGAATTCTTGAATATATCAGGACACGATGAAGCTTTTAGTCTATATCTCTTAATATTCAGTATGGCATTTCTATGGCTTATAGAATTCAGTGGCATTTTTAAATCCTTCAAATAATGATGATTCACAGAAAGCTGCTTCTTAAACCAGTCGCGTTTGTTTTCCTTGCTATCCTGTTTCACCAATTCCTTATCTTCTCTTGATTCCGATTTCGATTTTCTAAATACGAAATTTTGTTTCGTATTTTTTAATTGGTAGTCTTCAAATGATTTTTTCTCGTTATTCTCCTCGTATTTTTCAGATCGTGTTCGTGTAAGCAATTGTTTTGGATACAATAGGTCTGGTAGATCATTGTTATCTTTCAAATTAACAGAACATTTTTTAGGTTTGTTGTAATCAGTAATAGCAAACTTCGGATACTTTATTTCGATACCGTAGTCCTTACTGGTCGCTTTTATTAAACTGTCTAGCATCGAAAGTGAAACCTGAAAACAAATTGATTTTGTTAGGATACCACTCACATACTTACTTATGTTAAAGAATTTAGGTACATACCTTATCACTGTAAGTTAAATAAGAAGGCATGTTGACTACGGACTGAGATCTCTTTTTTAAACAGCATTTATTTTTCAATAATAACAAATTCTGATGACGGCGAATACTTGCAGCCTCCTGACTTATAACCTTATGTGGTGAAACTCCTTTTTTGACCAGCCCATCCATAACTTTTCCTCTTGTTGGTACATCAAAATCTAATACATACGGACTAGAAATAGATGCGTAACTAGAATTCTTTGATTTTTCGTCATCTTTGATAAGCTTTTCGTCGCACTTATTGTTCTGTTTTTTCTGTTCCAGAATCCACCATTCTGGATCCCGCATCACACAACCACAGACACATAAGTTCAAGAGTGTGCCAGAAAGTAAAAGTATTGTTCCTCTCCATCCATATTCTTCTATGAAATATTGAGTCATGGGAGCATATACAAAAGTGCCAACACCAGTTCCACAGGCTCCTAGCCCTACTGCTAAATTCCTTTTCTTTTCAAACCAGTATGCAATTGAGACTACAGCAGTAACATACACTAACCCTAACCCCAGGCCAGCGATAACACCAAAAGTAATCATCATCATCTCCAATGTAGTTGAAATTGAAGCTAGAACAAATCCAAGAGTAGATATCAACCCACCCAAGATAGTCATGCTACGACATCCATATCGATCAACGAGAGCGCTCATAACGGGCCCAGAGAGAAGAGGCACAGCTATAAATAGACTGCCTATCCACGCTGTTGTAGATTTACTGGCTTGGAATTCTTCTAAAAACTCAATGTATAGCAATCCAAAAGAAAAGCTTATTCCATCCGCTATCATTGAAATTATGAATGACGAAAGGACAACAACCCACCCCCAGCCCCCATCTGGTATACCTATATCATTTTCTTTTAAAGATACATCTAACTCTTCGACGTCATCACACTCAGAATCATTAATCGTAACTTCTATCGCTTTACTATTATTGTTTATATTATTAACCAAAAATTTCGATTCATCTTCATTATTAACACATAAATTATTTTGAGATCGAATATAATCTTGCGGAGCTCGGTCTTTATTGCTGTATTCTAAATCAGGACTAGAGAAAGAAGCGCTCTCATTGCTAGTGGCATCATCCTCTTCGCCTTTTACAATTCCAGAAGTAGAGTCAGATAATAGAGATGCTCTTACAGGTGCATCTCTTTCTTCATTATTTCTTGGTGTCCTTGTACATCTGATTACTACGTTAGGCTCTTCCCAATCTAAATCCATAATGTAACAAATCTAATACAGAATAATACTGAGATTTCTGGTTAGTTGTTGTGGAATTATCTTAACCTTGGATCTCTAGCGGAATATCGGCTGGCCTGGCGAGCCACGCTGTTTAGTTTCAGGGTGTTGGGCTTATTTTGGCTGAGCACCATCAAGGCAATGGTCAGTACACCGTGCTTGACTGGATTGTCTCCCATGCAAACGTAATTATTTGTGTCGCAACTACTGCGACACCGTTGAGTCGCTCAATTATCGCTGTGGTAAGTCCCACCTCCTGTAGTGGTACGGGTGTTCTGAAAACATGAACCACATTTTTGATTGTTATTGAAAAATGCTTAAAAAGTCCACTTTGTCCCTGGTATTCTGAGATGGGACTTAAGAATATTGTGTATCATATATAATATTTTAGATTGCTCAAATTTGGGTTTATATTTTATTAAATTAATCATCTAATATTATTTTCTTGATGAATATGAAGAACTGAAGTATAACATAGGACACTGAGTTAATATAATTATATACTTTTATTTTTAATTATCTCTATATTTTTTCTACCCAGCTTTTCCAATCAAGCTCTAACTAGATAATTTCTATTCATAAAATATATTATTGTTATCATTTCACTGATTTACTGAGTTTCATTTTTGTATATTGTTATAGAGTATGTGCTATTTGACCGATATTAATGATTAATTACTTAATTGTGTTATTAATTATAGAAATTGTATTTTATTTCTTTGACAGTAAGAATCAAAATTAAGATAACAACACCTCAATAAATATTTCATTGCAATGAGTTAAACAACAGATAAATGGAACTGTTATTCCTTATTAAGTGTGCGTTCATACGCGGGTGTGCGATAGTTAGTACATGTAGATAGGTAATAAACTATCTTTCTCGCTCTAGCAAAAGGCGGTACTGAGAAACAGAAGAGGAAATGCGATAATGTACTGCCAGATGACAACTCTCATAATAGAGTTGCTTTTAAAACAGTTTCATGGGGACTATCTCTAAGGTACCCGGCACAATTCTCAGCTAACTCAGTGTAAAAAAGGAGTTGATCTATCTTGGATTAAGACAGTGGAAGAGCTCGATGGCGCAGTGGTTAGCGCGCTCGGGCGATACGGTTGTTAAGCAAATTTCTCAATGGCTGGTCATAGGATGGGTGACCAAAGATTTATTATCTCGAACTTCTCCGTGCTTCGGAAGGCACGTTTATCCGTTATCCGTCCCGGCTGCATCTGCAGTCGATAATACCCACCTTCCTATTCAATTGATTCCATCAATAGGGAAGACCAAGGCTCCAACAGTGGGGGCATTTCAAAAATTCTGTCACCAACGGGAAGGAATCATGCGCGGGTAACATATTTTTTTCTTTCAAAATTATATAATTAAATGGTAAAATCATAGCGATATATTTAAAAATTATGAATACATTTGCGCTGTCCTTTGTTTTCTTTAATAACACAAACACGTATTTCTTTTATTTTGCAAAATGCTTTTAAGTAAAACAAAACTGATGATCTAATTACGAAAAATTGTGAACATACATACCGGTTGAAAATAGAACCTTTTAGATGTTAAAGTCGGTTATCAAAAATAAAGAGCTTTTCTATGTGATAATATATACACTACCTACCTAATGAAGCTCCATTAAAATGCTATAAACTAAACAATAAAAATTTTGTAGTCAAGATGCTTGGCATAGATAACCCATTGAAATGTCGCGTGCTCGCTTTAATGAATAGTGAAAATTGAAAAATAAATTACCTACATATTTTCACCGATACTCGTAAAACTTTGTAAATATATAAGTAATTTATAGGTTGTATAGGGGTACACTTTAGGTTTTATTCCATGAAAATGTTAATTCATTTAATATAGGCTGGTAGATTAACTATAGCTAATTAACACTAAATGCAGCACTCTCCCTGATAAATGTCAAAGTCACGCTCATATATCGAACGGAGTCAGTTACCCTAAACAAAATTATCCAACAACACAATTTAACTAAACTTTTTAAATTCTAGATTCTACGAGTACCTAATACATACTTTGTGTTACTCTATTTAAAAAAAAAAAGAAAATAGACATATAAAACCTCAAATGATCGACCGACAAGCATTTTGTACATTTTTTAAATAAAAAAAAAAATCACTATATTTTAAATATATGTAGGTACTCAAATCATCGATTTTCAAATTAAACTAAATAAGCTGCTTTACCGCGACTTCGCTCGCGTATGATGTCTACAAGTAAGAAACATTTTTATAAGTCGGTCCAGTAGTTTTGGTGCATATGCGATGCAAACAAACGTATAATAAAAGTCAAATATGTTCTCCTTCTTTAATTTAAGACGAGAAAAAATGTATCTGTATGATTTGTATGATCAAAACGCAAAAAAGTTATATTGATTATTTTTATTTTTTTAATTAATCGAACTTTTATAGCGGATACAACTCGTATATGTATATATAGACTCACCTTTTCTAGAATTAAAATTGTCACTTGTATAATACGACCGGTCGCGTCGGTAGCTTATTGCCGTATAAGGCAGAGTACACTCGTACGGCTGGCGCCGACTACCGATCGATAAGAATTTCCACCCACAACCCCCGACCATATAATAAGACCTCCACCTCTTCCCAACCCTCAAACAAATAACAACAGAAGGCGAGTAGTAAACAACGCCAGGATACACTGGTCACGTCTAGTTAACGTTTGTGACGTCACTGAAGAAGTTTCGCAAACAATATTATACGCATTACAAGATGGAGAAGGTAAATATAGATTTTTTTTTTATAATAAAGTAATACTCTATTAAATTTACTGTGGATCTTAAAAGCTCGATGGTGCAGTCGTCAACGAGTTCGATCTGTAAATCCGAATGTTAAGTAACTTTCGTAGTGGCCGGTAATAGGATGGGTGACCAAAAGTTATCTCGAGCTCCTTCATATTTTGAAAGGTGTTTGAACTGTCGGTTTACTTTAGCTGCAGTCAACCCAATTCTCCCTATGTGATTCAATCCATATGGAAGAATGGTGCCTCAGCAGTGTTTGCAAAAATTATCTTCTTATTTAAGGTATGGTATATGCATGCGGCAGATGAAAAACTCAAATCTTTGAACTGAAATAAAACAATTTAAACATGGAAAACGAGACAAATTAAAAAAAACACATCGCCGTCGAACATATTATATAACCTCCTTTTCGATTTTGAAGTCTATTAAAATCAAATTTATTAAATATTAATATAAAAAAGTATTTTAAATGGATTCTGTGTCAATTATTCTGTCCTTGTTTCATCGACATTTTAAAGGTCCATTACGAAGAAATTAGATAAATTAATATATCATCAGTATCAGTCTAATAATACATAGTAGATGCAGCCGGAACGAACGTCTTTGAATAGACAGTTGAACCGTAAGAACAATTAAAATGATAGTCTATTCCGTAAAAAGCCATTTCATTAGAGGCCTGCATTTAAAGTGAGGGAGTATTGAGCATACAAACATACGGAATCCACACTGTTGTATACCAGCGCTCACAGTCGACCTTTGTTGGACTTGAAACATGGTAGCAAGCAACCGTGACAACCGTGTGAATTGCCCTTTACAGGAACTCTTGCACACGTAGCATGACAAACTCTAGAAACGCCTTCTCGGGGCGACAGTGAGATATAGTATGGACACACCCGAGAAAAGTTGACATTTAGGTGTACAAGAGGTTTTCGAGTTTGTCAGGGTACGTATACTGTACTTTAAATGCAGCCCACCAATGAAATAGCTTAGCGTTGGATTGTGAGACATTTTTAAAAGTCAATAGTGCCCGCATGCGAGGTCCAGCAGATGTTTATAATGGAAACATTCTTGTTTCATGCAAGATACATTCGCATGTGGGTATTAACTATTGTGTTATTAACTTTTGTCATGCTATAGTCGGTGACCTCTAAACGCTCATCGGATAGCAGAGTCTTGACATTGGTCATAATACACCAATATTGCGTATTTACACTGGTCGATGATATTTGCGTGCAATGAAGATTTCTAATTCTCGCTCTCATTTTCTTTGTTTCTTTAAGCAACAGGATGAACGCGCAGAGATCGCCCGCACTTCGCATGGTTAGCCCACCGATAATAACCTATCGTGTAAATGAGTCAAAATGCAGTCTTCCGGAAGGTCCCGCATGCTATATATCAACTAATAAAAAAGGAGCAAAACTCACGTCAGTTGCATAGTAGCCTGGGATATTTATTTTCTTTGATTTTTTTGTATTTGTTACTATAGCGCCAATAGAAATAATCAACTGTTAAAATTTCACTTCACTGTTTAACTAACACGATTCATCAGATACAGCCTGGTGACATACGGACGGATGGACAGACAAACGGATAGCAGAGTCTTAGTAATAGGATCCCGTAAGCCTTACCACAACCCAAACTGAACTATTCAAGTCGCTCGGAATCAAACCGGAAGGATCTCCGAACAATCGTAGGTACCATAACAAGACATTGCTGACTCAACAAACACCTCAACACTATATCACCGACAGCCCTCTCTGCAGGGTGTGTGTCAACAGAAGAAACCATCACTCATGCAATCCTGGAATGCGAAAGCCTGGCAGCTCACGGGGTTGGACAATCCATTAGCACTCCGCGAATCTGAAGACCCTAAATATTTCTGCGCTTCTGATCGGAGTTGGATTGGCTAAAGTAAGAGAGCCAAATTTCACGCACCATGGTTCAATTAAAGCGTCTAAAGTACGGAAAATTTTAGCCCCTAACCTACCCTAATAGGGTTCCGTTTTACGTACTTTGAGTTCGGAACACTAAACAATGATCATTAATACACACAATGACCAGCAATAGCAACATTTCTTTCTTCGATTAGGTTGTTATATAGGTAGTGTTGCTCTGGGCCACTAAGATATTACATTTCGAATTCGATATTAATTCTAGTAAAGCACGCAACACGCGATACATTAGGTTAACAAAAGTATAAGGCTTCCATTTTTGTTATATTTTTTCTCACAAATCAATTAATTACGTAATGCTTTAATATATATAGAAAGGATATTAATAATTTAATAGATTCTGTCCATCAATAAAACTAATAATAACTGACATTTATAAAACCCGATGTCTAAAAATCATGGCATTAAAATTTAAATTTTGTTTATCCGAATATTTTTATCGTGTTAGCATATTAATAGAATCAACCGTACCTCGCAGATGTCCATTGCCATAACTAATAGTAACTGTAATATTTTAAGATTTAAGTATTTATCTTTAACAAAAATACTAAAAATTTACGACAGCCCCAGGCGCCCCGAGATGGAACTCGGACAATCTTCGGCAATCCGGGAGCTGCTCTAACTATTAAGCTGCCAGAGAACCAATAGGACTAACGAATTTCTCAAGCAGATAAGCTTCAATTTTTTAGCTTTTATTATTTTATTTTTTAATAGTAATGTCATTAAATTTTTTATCTGTAAAGTTTACGTTCAAATAAGGTAATTCTAGCTTCAGATAAAAAAAAAATATGTAATCATTTTGTCGAATACACAAATGTTAGTACACGTAAAAAATAAAACTAATTTTATATGTAAGTACCTAAGTAATATGCCTCTCTTTGCATATTTAATAAATCAGATAAAACGAGCTTTCATAGAATATCAAGCTTTTATGCGTATCATAAACAACGACCAGTAAATCAATAGTGTTTATGGCATTCAGCCAAAGCGATCCCATGGGCTCATCGTGACCTCGGGCTCTTGACATAATCAGTATTCCCTTGACACAAATTATAATAGAAAATGTCCAATGATATGTAGAGAATACAGGAAAAAAAATTTAACAGTACCAGAAATTGAATATTATGTTGTGTTAATTTCGGTGTTTTCTCTTTTTTTATTATTTAGGGGATTTTACCAGGTAGACGAACCACGCTTCAACTGAGGAGAGCTCAGGACATTATTGAAGAGCCCGACTAAGTATATCTGTTAAACTGTGATAGTATGACAGTTGAAATTTTCATATATGACGTATTTATGCTAAAAACATTATAACATAAATATCTAAGGGGGCGCCCATAAAACAAACGACCAAGACTTCGCTGTCTGTCTGTTTGTGTGTCACCAGGCTGTATCTCATAAACCATAATAGTTAGACAGTTAAGATTTTAACATATGATGTATTTCTGTTGCTGCTATAACAAAAAATACTAAAAAACAGAATAAAATAAACATTTAAGGGGGCTCTCATGCCACAAAAGTGATTTTTTTGCTTGTTTTCGGTACAGAACCCTTCGTGCGCAAGTCCAACTCACACTTCGCCGGTTTATCGACCTGCTAATATCAAAAACTAAAAATAAAAAAGATAATTAACCAACAACCAACCAACTGTACACGGATGTCGACGTCTACGGTTTGTTAACTATTAATAAAATAAATATGAATAAAACATTTAATAAAAATTAAATTATCAAATTTTAATATAAAAATATATTTATTCTTTGTAAATAGTCTATTAACGATATAAAACCCGCGTTTCCGCTGCTTTTGCAAGATTAAGCAAATTTTAAACTGGTATAATTATTGCTCATAGGATATTTTCAGGCGTCATTTGACATTTCCGTAAAATTTAAAACTAAAACATCGAATTGTTGTATCTCTTAAATTTTTAGATTTTCTATAAATTTTTAGTTTCACCCTCGTATCGCATTCCTATATTTTGTACAGAAAGTCAAGGTTGAATATGTAGTTACTTATTTCTGAATAACGCGGACCAATCATGCAACCTATAAGTATGCATAGATAGGTATCATAAACTGAATTGTATTGTAAAAATTATGAAGTATGCATGCCAACTTACTAAAGAAATATTTAATGGATAGCCTGTAAATACATATTTGCTGTAAGATGTAAATACATTGTGTCATCTTATTTAATACTATACAATTAGATGCATATATCTTCAGTAGCATTAAAACACAATAGAAATACCTTTTTTTAGTCAAACCTTTTTTGTAGTTTTGTAAGTATTTTTAATGTAATTATCATTCAATTAATAAATGCATATAAATAATATTCAGCAATTAATCACTCATTTATTTAATTCTACAGTTATGAATTATTTAATTCTCCGCGACACACAGATGTAAGAGCCAGACAGATGTAAGAGATATAAGTACGCGGACGTCGTATTTTTTAAACACGTTGCCGACGGGCGATTTTTTTGTAGCGAGCGATACAGACGAGATGTAAATGCGAGGCTGTGAAGGCTGCGACCATGCGACTGACTCGCGTGCACGTGCCTACTCAACTCAACTATAGAGTCTGGCAAGCGAAACGTGTCACAAGAAAAGGGCGGCAATTTCAAAAATTCTTAAGCAGTAAACACTGAATGTAGTACTGCAAAATAATTTTGATACTTTTATTAATTATATTTAATCTTAACATTTAGATATCAATTAAAATTATTTGTTTTGGAACATTTGACTAAAGCGTGACTGTTCTTAATTGTACAGTTAACAGCATATCAGTAGGCCTAT